GAGCTAGAGGTGGCATATGAAACATGGGGCGAGTTGAATGAAGCAAAAGATAATGTTGTTCTCTTATGTACTGGTCTGTCTGCCTCATCACATGCCAAGAGTCATGCGGTAAGACTTATTAATATTATGATAATGGAATCACCTCAATAGGAAATTGTTGTAAAATAATATCCAATATAAAATATTCAATAGCAGTCTATAACTGTGGTGGATCCATAGATGTTACTTGTAAATCTGGTCAATTTGAAATTTACTGTGCTAAGGATGTGAGCACCTACATTTATTATTTCACACAAAGTATTTAGATTTGTTGACAATTGTTGGAACATTTGAGAGGGTGGTACATAAGGGGTTATAGGTTCCGAACGAGATGCAAACATAGGTAACAAAAAACCTGATGCTTTTCTACCCATTAGGAATGGATTTAAGAAACTGTTTTAAAGAATTAAAATTAAAATAAGGAAGAGGTTTCAAAGTAAAATAAAACCTTCATTTCCAGTGGCATTTAAATATGTCGTGTTAACTCCAAAATTTCTCAAAATGTCCTTGTTTAGTCTCACGTTAATATAAACTTTGATCTTAAACTGGAAAATTGGTTTATGGGTTACTGAAGGTAAACTTGGTTTATATTCCTGAGCATCTACCCCTAGACCAGTCTATTAAATATTTATATACATTTAGTAGAACCAGACATTAACAGGTGCTGGGGGAGTATGCATAATATGGAGGAGTTAGAGTTTTATAACTTTACAGTTATTCATAGTTACTATGAATTCTAGTTTCTCTGGGTCGGAGTTACTTTACCTGTAATATTTTGAACATGTTGATAAGGAGAGCCTCGTTGACTGTCATGAAACTCATATAATAAATAATTTTGTTACCAATGTTTGAAATAGGAGAACCCTGCACCGGGTTGGTGGGAAAGCTTTGTGGGTCCTGGTTGTGCTTTGGACAGTGATAAGTTCTTCATCATTTGCTGTAACAATGTAGGAGGATGTTATGGTTCAAGGTTTGTTTGAACTTAGTATAATGGTTCTGATTTCTCAGTGAAGTAATATTTTTATTTACTTTGCTGGAGCTCAGCAAGACTGCATCACTGCCATGTGTGGTTAATGTCTCAGTCCACAATTATTGTGGACTCAAGCATTAATCACACATGGCATGCTGAGGGCTATACCTGAGGACTTTTCAGCAAATTGTAAGTTAATAATGCTGGGTGATATTTCCTAGCATTAATATTAGGTATGTGGTTCAGTCATTATAATTATTCAGGGAGTGCATTGCTTCCAGGGGTTGGGCTATTTAGCTGTAGAATAGACTTTGCATGCATTGCAGACCTATGACACTGGGAATGAGAATTGCACCCTCATTCCCAGGGTTCTCTCTCTACCTCGAGAAAGTGCCCTGGTTGTGGCTGGTCACGTGTCTATGCATTCCAACCAAAGCGCACAGAGGGTGGGTCCTCAACTTAATTTTGTCAACACTGTCTATGGGGGTGAAAGTTGCGCTGCCTTACAGACGTTACATATATTTTGAAAGTAAGCCAGTTATTTGTCAGAGATCCTGCTTGACTGTTGCTTTGTTTCCATCTGAACTTCTATGAGTATGAGATGTTGATTGAGAGGGAAGTTTGCTTATTTTTCACTACTTTTTTAAATAACCATCAACAGCCTGCTTCGGATTAGTTTAATCAGTTTTTCACAGCACAAGAATTAAATAACCGTCAAATTTTCGATGGAATGCATTCAATCAGAAGCATATCACCTAGATCTAGGTGATATGCTTCTGATTCAATTTAATGAGAAGCTATTCTCTTGACCGAAAATTGGACTTGCCGCTAAACAGTTGTGAAACGAAAGCCGTTATATTTTGTGAACACGCGGCCGATGTGGTTGCTGTCCAGTTCTTCATAAAATTTTTCACTGCAAGAGAATCAAATGACCATCAAACTTTAGATTGGATGAATTCAATCAAATTCAGAGTTAGTCTCTTGGCCAAACACTGGATGTATCAAACTCTAAACGAATGCATCAATGCCGCCATTGTGATTTTGCCGATTGCAAAATAAAAGCTTAATCTAAATCAAGCTTTAATATTCAGTGCACAGACATTGTTGATGTCAAGTTCTTTGTAACATTTCTTTGCCGCAAGAGAATGGCATTACCGTCAAACTGTCGATGAGAGTAATTCAATCAAATTCAAAATTACCTTTGCAGACGAACATACAACGTAAATATCTTCGTTGTGATTTTGCGGAATAAAAAATAAAATTAAATTCACTGCATGGTCCATTTGTTGTGGTGGTCGTCATTTCCAAGTTCTTTGCCAAATGTTTTCACTGCCACAAATTCCAAAGACCGTCCAACTATCGACGGGGAAAATTCAGCTANGGGCTCAGATTAGGCAAGCTCAGTGCTGAGACAAACTTTAACTTTCCAGCCCCTCTCTTCAATCACATCTCTGGAATCTGCTAAAATCTAGATGGCACGTGACCAGCCACAACCAGGGTACTTTCTCGAGGTAGAGAGAGTACCCTGGAAATGAGGTTGTGAAAATTGCTGATGCCCTTCCAATCAATTTGGTTTAATTTCTGTTAATTACATTTGGAAGTAATTCATCTACTGAGTATCCTTCAGTCTTGTAAGTCTTTGGATCTGAGTGCCTTGGAGTAACCGAGGCAATGATATTATTATAAAAGTGCGTGGTTTGTGAGTTGCAGCATTTGTGGTGGTGTTAAGAAATCTTTAATTATGACACTTCAGGGCTCAACATCTATTCAGCTCCACCACTGTTCATTAGGCTGGTACATATAATATACAATTTACTAGCCTGACCCTTTTATTGCCTAAACTACACAGGTTTTGAATATTTTTACCTCACTCCCTCAATTAAGGGTTACTCCAATTAGTACATGTGTGAAACATGACAAACTGAAAGTCAGAGAAAAAAAACTAATACTGTATAGCACTTTATTTTACCAGCAATGCCAAATTTTCTGTTCAATGTTACAACTACTGATTCTGTACACAAACTTCTGTCATTACTGTTTTTTGTACAAAGAATAATTAATTAAGTTAGTCAAGTTAATGCTCCACTAGCCCATGCACAGGTTAATAAATGTAATATTTTACTAGTCCTGGCTGCTGTTTTGCCAGCCTCAGGCTACTGGCTCAGTGCAGATCGCTGTTAAATCTTGCACATTCCATTATATTTTGTGACTCTAACATAATTGTTGAGTTCCTTACGACCTGACTAAACTTGATTAGTTTTCTTTCTAATAAGTTACATAAAATCAATCCCATGTAACATAATTTCTATGAAACAATTATAAGTTTATTTTTGGTTTTTAAATTGCAGTGGGCCTTCCTCAATCAATCCAGTGACAAATAAGGTAATAAAAATGAAATAAATTCAGCACTCGATTTTAGATCTTTAACTTTGTTACAATAATCTTGATTTTCTTGACAATAATTTTTATTGCTTTTATCTTTGGTCAATTTAGCCTTATGCTACAACCTTCCCTATTGTCAGTGTTGATGATATGGTGCGTTCCTTCTTTCTTACCTTGGATTCATTAGGTATTGAAAAGGTATGAGGCAGGTCTGTGGTTAATTTGAAAGGACTGTTGTTAGATCAAGTTTAACAAGTACTTTATTAACTTGCATAAATGTATCTAGTCAAAATATAGAGCAGTTTTCAAATGACTGTTGAAAGTAATCCAGGATTGCTCTCAATGGCATTATGTTTCTAGGCTCTGTGATTGGTTTCAAAATTCCTGGATCACCAACTTGACCAATCGAATGCAAAATTAAACCATATTTACAACTTGGTCACATATGATTTTTAAAATGTGCTTGCACATGCTTGAAGTTGTCATTGCTTCATAGCATTGTTTACATTTGCTGTGATTGGCCACTGTGGTGCTTTGTGTTTAGTCCTACGACAATTTCAATTGAAAACTTGAAGTAAAAGAACATTTCATGTAGTAAAAGTGCAATGAAATGTAATATGTCTTCTTTTTTTTTTTAAACAAAGTGGAATATTTCATTTGGCACATCAACCCCAAAAATGTTAATTTTAAAGAAGGGTTACATGTATATAATATTCGTTAGGGTCTCAAAGGGGCTAAAATGGTGTCATAGATGTTAACAAATTTGAAGCCATTGTCACTATTCAAAGAGGGCTTTGGTGACATCTCAATTGCCTCCGTTATGTGATGTTTGAACTTGTTGTTTCTGTGTAATAACTTTTGTTTTGCTGGAATCCACTGAATGCACCGCGAGCTGGCAATGTTCATGAACAGCTGACGAACTCTTCGAAAGATGTTCCTGTACTCTAGGTTTTCATAAACAAGATGGATCATCTGTCAGTTGAAAACTGTTCTACGTACACACTTATTGCTTTCTTTCTTATTGAACTCTTAAGGTTCATGCAGTTGTTGGAGCATCTTTGGGAGGTATGTCTTCCCTGATTGCTGCTGCTTTATATCCAGATCGAGTGGGAAGGTAAGGATTGGACTGACTTTCTGGTGTCTGCTTAACAATATGTCATTGTGAAGGATCATTTGTCATTAGATAGTAGAAAGATTTGTCATTCCAAGTTATCCACTGTAACATAAGATGCTATTAAAGTTTCTTATAACACAAAATAATCTGGCTCTTATTTGTGGTTTCTTACATGAAGAGATGGATAAAATCAACATGGTGCTTGATAAGCAAAATATTGCTGTAGCTCTTTGCACACATTGCAGACCCATGATGCTAGATAATGGTCTTGTTCTCCGTGTGTATTGCAAACCTTTGAAGTTTGTATTTCTAGCTCTCTGCACAAACTGCATGCTAGATTACTGTAATATGTCACAGTTGAGTGCTAAGGGTCTTGTAAGCAGTAGCTTGTCGTGGAGATTGCTAACATATCTGCGTATTTTGTATGGACCTGTAAAATGAAAATATTGCTTTTTGTTTCAGGGTGGTCACAATCTCGGCTTGTGCTCAATCACATCCAGCATCAATAGCCCTTCGCTATGTGCAGCGCAGGGTACTCATGAGTGATCCTAACTGGAACAAAGGTTTTTATTATGATGGAGCTTATCCAAGGCTTGGAATGAAACACGCCAGGTCAGTTGTTTTATTCCTTACTACTGTGCATATGCTAAACTATAGATTGTTACATAACAAGCTTACAACTCTTGTTTTGTAATCAGGGAAGTAGCCACCATTACATACCGTAGTGGCCCAGAGTGGGAGCAGAGATTTGGGCGTAAACGCATTGAGGATCAAGTCTCGCCAAACTTTTGTCCTGAGTTTGAGATTGAGAGCTACTTGGATTATCAGGTGATTGGAAGATGAACTTTCAGTAAACAACTAAATTCTTCCTAGTATTTAATATGCTATATAGCTAATTACTCCAGATCTTATCTTTACAGTAAAGATGTTAGGCTCATGTTGATATCAATGCTGGTATCACATGGTAGTGATGAAATACAGTGCCTTACCTTCCTCCATCATCATACTGAATATTGAATGGTGCACTTTCTTTAGCAGCCACTACATGTACTTACCCCCCCCCCCTCCCTTTCATAATTCAACTCATTCTGATCGACAGACGTACAATAACCACCATTTTTTTTGGAGGGGGGGGGGGAAGAAGGGAGGAAGGGGGGGAATAGCTAAGTAACTTACAGAGAAGGTCAAAAAAGTGCACACTGACCCAGTAACTGTGTGATTTAACTGCTATCTTAAAATATTTTTCTTATTTTTTCGTTAACAGGGTGACAGCTTTTGTGTCAAGTATGATCCTAACTCACTACTATACATATCAAAGGTGATTTAAATGTTTTGTTGGAATCACTAATTTCCACCCTCTGAATCCTCTGTTTCTGTGGTTATCAATCAGTTTGAATAACTGTTAAATAACACTTCTATACTGTGCTCCAGGCAATGGATCTGTTCGACTTGGGGGAAGGCTTCAGCTCTCTCTTGGAAGGAGTGGCTCGAATTCAGTGCCCCACCCTTGTAAGTATTGCAATGCGCACGCGTATTGCAACAAGTATTACAAGGATCCTGGAACCGACCATTTTAAACATACTTCAGAGAAGCATCTCTGTGATTTCATTATCACAATTTAACTATGACGTCGTAAAGAACTAAGCCGTCTGTTTTCTAACCAGATATTTCTTTTGTCTTTGTATGAAAAGTGGCGATGATTTTAACTTCTTTTGTGGCTTTTAATTTGCAGGTTTTAGGAGTTCAATCTGATGTGTTGTTTCCTGTCACACAGCAAAGAGAGCTGGAGAGTCTTCTGAAAGAAG